AAAAAAAGAAAAGAACAACATCGGATGACATTTATTTACATGAGTGTGTGGGTCGATGGGCTCGTGCATGCCACTGTGCGCACACAGAGGTCAGAGGACAACCTCTGGGAGTCAGTTCTCTCCTTCCATCATGTGGGTCCTGGGAATTGGACTCGGGTTCTCAGACGTGGTGAGGAGCTCTGTTACTGGCTGATCCTTCTCAACAGCCCAAGGATGGGCAGTGTTAATTAGGCTCCTCAGGCCAGGCACCTCTCACAGAGTGTTCTACACGGTAGACTCATTTCTCTTCTCACCAAAGCTTCGAGTGGCAGGTAAGGATGCTTACCTCCGATCTACGCAGGGCAAGGGTGCCTTAGAAAGCAGGAGTGGCTGGCCCTACATGGGGACATATGGCCTGACCAGGAGGTGACTGGCAGAGCCTTTGGTGTGTGTGTGTGTGTTTTGTCCCATGTACGTATGTGACCATAGCTGATTCTGAAGGAAGGACTCTCCTTGTGACCTGTCTCATTCCCGTCACCCACCTACTCCTGATGGCGTTTGCACCCGGAGCTTGCTGGAACGGTACTGGGGTGGGGGAGGACCCCACTGGGCCTGACTTGCTCCACTGCCTGCAGGTGGCGTGGTGACTGCGGGCCTGGCCATCTACGACACGATGCAGTACATTCTGAACCCCATCTGCACGTGGTGTGTTGGACAGGCTGCCAGCATGGGCTCCCTGCTGCTTGCGGCTGGCAGCCCGGGCATGCGCCACTCGCTGCCTAATTCCAGAATCATGATCCACCAGCCCTCCGGAGGGGCCAGGGTGAGTATGTCCTGCAGGGATGTGGGAGGAAGTCTAGGCCACTGTTCTTTCTTTGTTGGAGACAGGGTCTCACCATGTAGCCACAGCTCACTCTGTAGACCAGGCCAGCCTCTAACCCACCGAGATCTGCCTGCCTCTGCCTCCTGACTGCCACTGTTTTCATGGCTGGGAAGCTGCTCCTCAGGGGTAGAATGCCTGCTAAGCACGGAAAAGACTCTGGGTTCCATCTCCAGCACCAGAGGAAACGATAAAAAACAAAAAACAGAGCTGGGTGTGTTGGGAGAATGCCTTTAATCCCAGCACTTGGGAGGCAGGTGGATCTCTTGAGTTTGAGGCCAGCCTGGTCTACAGGGCAAGTTCCAGGACAGCCATTGCTATAGAGAGAGACTCTGTCACAAAACAAAAGAAAAGTGAAATAAAGGAAAAATAGATCAACGGGATGGAAACACTCAGAAGCTGCAGGGCTGAAGCACGGGATGGCTTCCTCTAGCATCCCGTCAGGGGGACTCCAGTTCTAGGCTCCATCTTCTTCCTCAACTTACCAGTTGCTTCTCAGGGCCAAGCCACAGACATCGCCATCCAGGCGGAGGAGATCATGAAGCTGAAAAAGCAGCTATACAACATCTACGCCAAACATACCAAGCAGAGCCTGCAGGTGATCGGTGAGCACCAGCCTCACAGGGCACACTCCTGTGCGTTGGCACTCTTGTGCGTTGGCACTGTCCTAAACCAGGGCTTCCCCACCTGGACATTCAGAGCCACATTACCGTAGTGGGCTCACCCTGGACCTGGGGTGTTCAGTAGAATCACTAACCTAAAATGCTCTGTGCCTGTGGCCCCTTCCAGTGCTGATAGCCAAGTGTCTCTAAAGGCTGGGGGTGTGGCTGGGGGAGGAGCATCTATCTAGAATCCCCCAGTGAGGGGCTGGGGGCGTGGTCAGGGCGGAGCCCCGCCTAGAATCCCCCAGTGAGGGGCTGGAGGAGTGCTTTAAGTATAGATTTCTTGCCAAGTGGTGGTGGTGGTGGTACATGCCTTTAATATAACCCGACTCCTTTTTTTTTTAAATAATTCATTTTATTGTTTATTGTATGTGTATAGGTGTTTCTCCAGCATGTATGTCTGTATTGCATGTGTGCCTGGTGCCTGTGAGGTCACAAGAGGGTGTCAGATCCCCTCGAACCAGAGTTATAAATATTTGTCAGTTGTGTGGGTGCTGAGGATTGACCCTGGGTCCTCTGCCAGATCAAGTTCTCTTAACCTGCGAACCATTTCTCCAGCCCTGGGGATAGATTTCTGGACTGGCAAAGTCCCTAGCCTATTGGGCGGAATTCCCGCTGGTTAAAACCCCCTCTTCTGACCCTTTAGATCAGCTCTGCAAGCTGGGTGTGGTGGCACCTACCAGTCATCCCAGCCCTGGGAGGTGGAGGCAGGAGAATCGGGAGTTCTAGACTGATGTAGGGACTACTGCAAGATTCAGTCCCAGACCAAAATAAAGATATCAGCCACGAAGACCGGCCCAGGTGGGCCGCGCTGTTTTGACAGATGATATTCTGGGTGGGGGAAGGTAGCAAGGGTTACTGGTGCCGGCGGGTGCCGGTGAGTGCCGGCAGGGTTTCCCTGGTGCCTATGGGATTTCATTTTTGGGGGGAGCATGTGCCTGCCACAGTGGACGTGTGGAAGTCAGAGGACAGTTTGTGGAAATCAGTGCTCTCCTGACACCTTGTGCATCGCGGTGATTGAACTCCAGGCCATTGGTGGCCAGCGCCGCCTCCTGCTAGGCAGTCTTGCCGGCCCACACACCATTCCTGCATCTATCTTGGTGCTGGTCACATACGTTCAGCCTAAGATTCACCACATGGCACCACGTGACCTTTTCCTGGGTGTATTTATTGGTGTGTGTGTGGCATATGCGTACTGTGACGTGTAGAGGTCAGAGGGCAGTCAGTGTTCAGGAGGCAATTCTCTTCCGCCGTGTGGGTCCTAGAACCCGAGTGTATTTGAGTAGTCAGTGGAAATAAAACCAGTGTGGCTCGCCGGTGCACCCGTCGGCCCAGCACTTGTCAGGTGCAGGCGGGAGAATCAGGAGTCATCCCTTTGAGGCCAGCCTGGGCTACGTGAGCTGCCTGAAAAAAAAAAGAAATGTATTTCTTACTGCTGGGGAAACTGAGACACAGAGAAGTTCCAAGCCTCATGGAGAGGAATTGTCTGAGTGAGTGCGTGTCTTATGTAACTCAGAGCCGGAACAAATCATAATGGGCTGGGAGCTAAAATACTAGGAATGTGTATCTGATCCTGGGAGCAGGAAGGTCAGGAGCAGCTGGTGCCTGGAAGGCGACCTCTGACCTTCAGATCCTTTGCTTTGCCGGAATTACAGGTGGTTCTGGGGATGGACCAGGGCCCAGTGCAGGCTAGACCAGTGCTCTATCAATTGAGCTCCTTTTTTTTTTTTTTTAACTCCTTGGCATGTATCCCTGACTGGCCTTGAGCTTTGGGTCCTCCCGCAGAAGCCTCTTTTAGTAAGGGCACAGATCCCAGGGTAGGGCTTCCATCCTCACAGCTCCATAAACCATCCTGCTACTGGTGGGGGCTTGAACCCAGGAATTTGGGGAAAGCCTCCCAGGTCTCTGCTCTCATCCGTGTGTACTGCTTCCCCCCAGAGTCGGCCATGGAGAGGGACCGCTACATGAGCCCCATGGAGGCCCAAGAGTTCGGCATCTTGGACAAGGTCCTGGTCCACCCACCTCAGGATGGGGAGGATGAGCCAGAACTGGTACAGAAGGAGACTCCCACAGCACCGGCTGATCCTCCTGCCCCGGCCAGTACCTAGGGCCTGACCTCATCTCCAGGAGTGTGGAGACCCAGGACTGCCGAGCCCAGAGGTACCCCTGGAGAAGATGTGGGTTGAGGCTGCCCTCCTGGCTGAGACACTGTGACTTTAAATTAAACCTTTATGGTCGTTGTCCCATGTCTGAGGCACCTTCGATCACCTCTCCAAGACCCCAGGCCCCTCTCAACCTTGACTCCATGACAAAGCACTTTTGTTTTGTTTTTCGAGACAGGGTTTCTCTGTGTAGCCCTGGCTGTCCTGGAGCTCACTCTGTAGCCCAGGCTGGCCTCGAACTCAAGAGATCCGCCTGCCTCTGCCTCCTGAGTGCTGGGATTCAAGCTGTGCTCCACCGTGTGTGGCTGTTAGCAAACTTTTATGCCGTATACTAGCCCAAAGCCAGCAGGTAGAACTATAATTGTGTGCATTTTCAATTATGTGTGGGTTTGTGCGCATGAGTGCAGTACCCGTGGTGTCCAGAAGAGGGTGTTGGGTCCCCTGGAGCTCCCCTGTGGGTGCTGGAACTTGAGAGATGTACGTCTTACCTGCTGAGCCTGTCTGCGCCGCTGGAGAGTTAGGTAGTATGGTTGGCCGGAGGGTCAACCAGGAGCAACATGGAGGAGCCACCAGCGGCTCTGGACTGATCCTCAGACCCAGGAGACCCGACACTTTGCCGTAGGGTTCCAAATCGGGCTGAGCCAGAAAGAATGGTAGGGGAAATTTTGTGGATTTTATACTAAAAATGGAAGCAGAGGATCAGGTATGTAGATGTAGCTTAAAAGGGAAAACTGGAACAGTTTATTTGTGGGAGAGGGGGCAGGTCCAGTGTCCGTCCCTGTGGACGTCAGGGCACGACTTGCAGGATTGACTTCTCTGCTTCCACTGGGTGTGTGGGTCCTGGGGATCAAACCAAAGCCACCAGGCTCGGGTGCCTTTACCTGCTGAGCCCTCTTCGCGGGCCCAGGCGTCACCAGGGTGGTGTGGGCTGTATTAGTGGGTCTTCCTTGTTGGAACGTCTTGGTTTTTTACTCTTTGGACGGCATCTCCTGTAGTTCAGGTTGGCCTCGAGCTCAAGTGTAGCCAAGGCTGACCCTGAAGTTGTCCGTCTCTCTCCACCAGGGTGTGCTGGATGCAAGGCCCCGGGCCTGTGCTAGCAACACCGGTTGAACCTCTAACCTTGACTTTGCCCCACGTGACCCCAAGCCTGGGTTAGCCCAGACCCAGGACCTCAGGCGCGAACCTGAGAGATGGAATCAGGACTCAGGGGCGGGGCCGACACTGGACGCGCAGCCAATGGGGTGGGCGCGCTCGCGGCCAATGGCGTGCGGTGGAGGGCGGGCTCGGGGCGGGCCCCAGCCAATGGCGTGCGGGGGCGCGGCCCGTCTCCAGGCGGCCGGCTGAAGATGGCGGGCCCCGGGCGGCTGGCGATGCGGGCGCTCTCCGGGTGCGGCTGGGTTCGCGGCTCGGACCCCGCAGTGCTCAGCCGCCTGCGCGACGAGGCCGTGGTGCGGCCCGGCTTCCTGAGCCAGGCCGAGGAGGACACGCTGACCCGCGAGCTGGAGCCCCAGCTGCGGCGCCGGCGCTACGAGTACGACCACTGGGACGCGGTGAGGGGCTCGGCCGCGTCGGGGAGGGCGAGCGAGCGAGCGCGGGGCGGGGCTCGGCCCGGCTAGGGGCGGTGTGCTTGAGCAGGCCCCCGTGTGGATCCGGCGGCAGCGTGCGACGGGCTGCTCCGGCGTGGGACGAGGCGGGTGCTGGGCGTCTCGGGAGGGACAGAGTTCCGACGTCCTATGGGACAGGGCTGACCTTGATGCCGGAGCTGGGGAGGGGGAGCCCTGCAGCTGGGGGGTGTGGGGAGAGGGGCCTGAGCTGGGGAAGGTGAACCGGGAGGGTTGGGCTCAGGGGGATAGAGCGGTGCAGTATTCATTCGAAGGAATGGGCTGCAAGGGCAAGATCGCTTTAGACATGAGGTTCTGCAGCTCAGGGTGTTGACAAAGTTAAGGGTAGAAGACTCGGGTGAGGGGGTGCCAGCAGTTGGGGTCTCACTGGGCTCGAGTGGGACTGAGTTGAGCCCAGAGACACAGACACTGATTACTGGGATGGCCAGCACCGGGGACTGGGAATTGGAGCCTGGAGACCAGATGCAGTGTTGAGACCTCGCTGAGCCGCTTAAAGTCCGAATTGTGAGTTAAAGCTGGAAAACTACTTGCCTGTGGACTCTGCCTCATTTCCCTATCCTGAAGTTCCCAGTCATGACCTGAGCTCTCTGTGCAGGCCATCCACGGCTTCAGGGAGACGGAGAAATCCCGCTGGTCCGATGCAAGCCAGGCTATCCTGCAGCGGGTTCAGGCGGCTGCCTTTGGCCCTGACCAGACCCTGCTGTCGTTGGTCCACGTATTGGACCTGGAACCTCGGGGCTACATAAAGCCCCATGTTGACAGTGTCAAGGTGGGCAGAAGGCAGACCCTCAGAACTCCCAGCCGGGATGTGGGTGGGCAGGAGGGCAGGTCTGAGACAGACAGACAGACACACACACACACACACACACACACACACTGTACCCCTCTTCCAGTTCTGTGGATCCACCATCGCTGGTCTTTCTCTGCTGTCCCCAAGTGTTATGAAGCTGGTGCACACCCAGAAGCCTGAGCAGTGGCTAGAACTGTTGCTGGAGCCAGGCTCCCTCTACATTCTGAGGTAATGCCTTGCCTAGAAGCCCCAGATGAGGCCAAGTGCTTCTAACGCCTCTTTGTGCTCTCACAGCAGAGGAAGCTGCTGCCACCACTCAGAAAAAGTGTAGACATGCTGAAGGGGCAGGATCTCCCTCCACCCGCCCCTCAGCCTGTCTCTTCTTGCAGGGGTTCAGCCCGATACGACTTCTCCCATGAAATCCTTCGAGATGAAGAATCATTTTTTGGGGAGCACCGGGTCCCCCGGGGCCGACGCATCTCAGTGATTTGCCGCTCCCTCCCTGAGGGAGTGGGGCCAGGGAGGCCAGGAGAGCCACCCCTAGCCTGCTGACTCTACGCCTAATCTCTGGACTTGTGAATAAAGTTGGAAAAAGAATATCATGGGCATCTTCAAATTACCATCTGCCAGGGCTAGGGCCCTCAAGAGACAGCCTGGTGGCTGCTGGGGTACCCCATCACACACACTCCTAAGGCCATTAGAACATTTCTTTTATTGCATTAATTGATCCCCAGTCCCAGGTCCCCTTGTCGTCTTCACTTATGCAAGTTTCTAATAAATGTCATCTGACCCATTCAAAGCCCAGGCTGTCTCATGCTTGTGATTGCGAGGCCCAGAGCTAGCCACCACAGCCACAGGCAGCGGCTGAGAGCTGAGGCAGCTGCCGCCAACGGTGACGATCGTCCAGGAAGGTCACGTCAGCGTAGCTGGTGGGCTGGCAGCAGGGCTGACCGTGGGCTCGACCCTGCCCTCGCAGCCGGGCCAGCACCAGGCTGTGCTGGGTACGGGCCTCTCGGGGGCAGCTGCCAGCACAGTACCGGAAGATGACCTTCTCCTCTGAGGCGTAACCCAGACCCAGCTCAGCCACCGGCAGGGTCAGGCTCCACAGCTGGCATGGCCCAGCCAGGGCTCTTGGAAGGCGGACGTGGTTGTTACCTAGCACAGGGTAGAACAGAGTGTGAGGCAAGATGAGGGCTTTAAGAGAAGGAACTAGGAGTCATGAGGCGCCCAGGAATTCTTACCCTGATGGGGCTTCCAGGTCTCTCCAGCCTCTGCCATCTCCTCAGATGAGATCTCATCTTCTGCCGCTGCAGCCCCTTGAGGACCAGGGCTCCAGCCGAGGCCCAGGTGCACGAACAGCAGCAGCAGAAACATGAGCATCAGTCTTCCCGCAGCCATTGTGACAGGGAGGTCCCAGGATGCCGAGAGACCCTGGGGCCCTCAATTTATTCTCTGCCTGCCCTGGGGACTAAACTCACTGCCAGCACCCTGGCTCAGGGAAGCCACTGGGGTCCCACCCACCTTGTCCCCACTTCCTCACCCCTAAGAATTGATGGCTCACCCGCCCAGACATTCCATAGACCCATTTCTGGTTCCCCTGATTTATGAGTGTCCTACCATTAGCCAGAAGCAAGCCTAGAGCTGGCCACCAATCTGTCCCCACCCCACCTGCTTTTGGTGGGAAGTGCAGGGAAACCGGGAGGCCTGCTGTAGGTCTTGTACTGGAGTGTGGGCCGTGTGGGGCCATAGGGACTGGGAAGGGCACATGGCAGATGGAAGAGTCAGTGGGCATCCGTCCATCTCGGCTTTAGCCAGGATTAAGACATCGTACCCCTGTCTCCGGGCCTGGCTGAGCCAGCATCAAAACAGGAAAAGGGAGTCTAGGTGATACCCAAGGGCTGGGACTCCCGTTCTTGGAAGGCCAACCTGAAAAGCCACAGCTATAGCCAATCTGGGTTTTGGTGCATCAGAGCCCAAGGGAGGCTGGAGCTTGCTGGGTCCCATCACTCCCAAGAAGGAACAGGTTCTGCCGACTTCTGAACCCATGAGACCCAGCTAGCAGCCATGGTCAACAACAAACCAAGGGTTTTGGAGACAGGAATAAAACTGATGTTGGGTATGGCAGTGCATGCTGCTCACTCAGGAGGCCGGGGCATGATTGCTGCAGGTTGTGGCCAGCACAAGCTAGAGTGAGACCGTCTCAAAACAGTAAGTGGTGGTGAGAGCTTGGCAGGGAAAAGCCCTTGCCACACCACCTGACCTGAGAGTTGCAGAAGCCACATGGAGACCTGATCCCAGAGTTTTGCATGCGTGTGCATGCACGCACGCACGCACGCGCGCACGCACGCACGCGCGCACGCACGCACACACACAGCTAGAGCTGAGTTTGTAGGATGCTTGCTGAGCATGTTGGGAGCCCTGGGGTCCACACAAAGCACAGCATAAAATGACATGATGGTGCAGGCCTGTCATTTCAGCACTGGGGAGGCTGAGGCAGGAGCATCACTAGCTCAAGGCCGGCCTGGGCTACATGAGACTCACAAAAAGGAGAAGAAACAGCAATGACTCAGAACTGAAAGCAGTTGTCGAGTGCAGAATTCAGTCTGAAATAGGTCCCTGAACGTAAGGCTCTGCCCCTGACTACACAGCTCTGCATACCTGCCTGCCCTGGGGTGGGTGGTGCCTTAGACCCAGGCCAAAGGGCCAGCAGAAGGTGGGGCAGGGAGGCCCAGTGAGCAGGGACATTCCTAGGGATTAGCCCCTTTTCTCAGCCACTCCCCATCACCAGCCAGGGGCAGTAGGTGTGGGAGTGGGTTTTCCACTGGTGTCCAGCTGCCAGTGAGAGGAAGCCCTCCCTGCACCCAGGCTGCTCAGGACCCAGCTTTCAAGGTAGGAGCTGAGGCCAAGGACCAATCAGCCATGTCACCACCCAAGAATGTGAAGCACTCTGCCTGAGCTACGCCCGGCTGGCCTGGACAAGATATATCTCTGGGCCTGTCAGGAGATAAGGGGGACCCCAGGAATGTCCCTTGGAAATGGAAAACAGCATCCAGGTGCCAACACCACGAATAGGTTTGGATTCCAGTGGCCATGAGAGGAAGTGCCTGAGCCAAGAACCGCAAACTGGGCTGTATGCAGGGGCCATGACTGCCATCCTAGCATTTGGGACTACACAGCAGGGCCTTCTCAACTACAAAGTAAGAGAGCCGTGCCTGTCCGCGGTGCACACCTGTGATCCTAACACTCCAGAGGTGGAGGTGGGAGGATCAGGAGTTCGAGGCCAGCCTCAACTACAACAGTAAAAAGAGGACTGGCACGTAGCTCACTCAGGAGTGCTGGAGTAACAAATGTGGGTCCCACATTTTATCACTTGTGCTGCAGCAACAGCAGATCTCAGGCCTGCTCTCCTGAAGGACTGAGAAGCCGAGCCCTCCCAGACAAGGCCTACCATAAACCCTACACAACACAATGATACAAGGTAGGCTGGCCAGGGTGGAGCCCCGCCTAGAATCCCCAGTGAGGGGCTGGGGGCGTGGTCAGGGTGGAGCCCCGCCTAGAATCCCCAGTGAGGGGCTGGGGGCGT